TTGGATAATCAGAATACATCATCTGTTCAGAGCTAAAGGGCGTTAACTGTGTGTTAAGTATATGAGTTAAACTAACTTCTGGCTACAAACAGACAATATATAGTTATCAAAACCTTCTAGCAACTCACATTCATTGAAAGGCATATATGTTTCTATGTATGGACATCATACTTTATGGAGTCAGAGATACGAGCTCGATTTGTTCAACTTCCTGTGCTCACAACTCAGCCTCTATACACTGTTGAACTAAATCATTTGGAAGACATTATTTTGGGGGGTCTTGTATTTTCATTTGATACTGTGAGTTTGTAATCTTATCATCACCAGAACTCAAGATAAACTTTAACATCCCTGAGGTAAGATGCTGAAATAAAACTTGAATAAAATAACTAAAATGACTCATTCAAGTTGTATACTCTAAATACTTACTTGTAAAGATACATATTTCTAAAGAAGACCCCAAAATTGTTTCTACTATAGTGCTGACTATCACAGGTCGATTATAATCATAAAAATTTAAACTACCGGTACAAAAATTACTAATTGCGAGCACTGTGCTTTCTCATGGTGTAAGACGCTTGGGATCACGAGGGAAGAGTGATGTCTTCCTGATATTGTCCAGACCAAGGTACAACATGGTGACACGCTCCAGACCTATTCCACCACCAGCATGTGGAGGCGCTCCATAGCGAAAGGCATCAATGTAGGCCTTGATCTTCTCAATATCTGCATTTTGGAAGAAAACAACAAATGCTAACTTGTCTCTTGACCTACACACAGCTTAATATAATCAATATAACTTTTATTGAATACGCTTTAAAACATGGCAATATGCCTCACATAATGAAAACTGAGGGTCATGCGCTCCCAGCTTGAATGTGCGCGGTTATAACATGTAAAATCCTTCAATTTTTTGGTGCAATTTTTCTTTAAAGCTTTATGCACCAATTACTGTGGGCAGAATCTATCTGGGGCGAACAGCAAATACAAATTCAAACATAAATTTTGCAATTATTCTGAATGGTTCGGCAGATTTTAAAACTTTGTCGCGACTTGCTTTGAATTCATCCTTACACATTCACATTCAGAAAAGAGCAATCGCTATGGGAAAAGCCTACAAAGTATTTCACTCTATGTTAATCAAAAACGCGGGAACGTCTCACTTTGGGAGCAAGGATTCTAATTGTTGAGTTTTTCTTCTTTCCATCGATATATAACATTCACCATCGTGGGTTGCATATGGTCGTCGTGTTTTTTGTTTGAAAATTGTAGTCCCATTAAAATTTATGTCACATCAGAGAGATCTGAGGCTGTGACGTCATAGATTCATTCACAAATAATCACTGAAGTCCATTTAACCAAATAAGGACGCACGGTTTCACGTGCATTGTGCCGTGATTTGTGTTGTTCGTTCCTACTTGTGATTTTCATCAAAAATAACACTGACCTAGTAGTTGGATGCTATTAATTGACACCTCATTGTAACTATCAAGGGTGAATGAATGTTTGATATTGAGGTATTCTTTAATAGTAAAATACATGTCCCCTATTTTGTGTAGAAAAGATAGCACCCTGAGCCAGGGCTGCAACATTGTTTTTGTTTCTCGCAAACAAAGGCATGCAAACAAAGGCCACATGGGAGCTGGTAAGTGTGTGTTTCGTGAGGCATGGGATTTAATGTCCAATTTCGGGCAAAAGTTTTCATTACCGTATTTGCCGGCGTAAAGGCCGCAGTATTTTTGGAAGAGAAAATATCAAAAGTCGGGGTGCGGCCTTTACGACGAAAGAGTAAAAAACTAGATGGAATTTTGACTGCGTGCAGTCGAAAATGATGCCTCCGCCATAGAGCAATTTAAACAAGTTTGGAGTTTAAATCTCCAGTGGTTCTTGAGATATCATGATAACAATCTCAATGTATGGAATTTCATAAGTTGACCTCTGTGACCCTTGACCTTTGACCTACGTGCTCCAAAATCTAACCAGATTGTCTTCCTATGGTGATACACACTATCATTAAGTTTGAAGTTTAAATCTCCAGTGGTTCTTGAGATATTATGATATGGTGATACATACTATCATTCAGTTTGAAGTGAAAATTCTCCAGTGGTTCTTGAGATATCGCGATAACGATCTCAATGTATGGAATTTCATAAGTTGACCTCTGTGACCCTTGACCTTTGACCTACGTGCTCCAAAATCTAATCAGATTGTCTTCCTATGGTGATACACACTATTATTAAGTTTGAAGTTTAAATCTCCAGTGGTTCTTGAGATATTATGATAACAATCTCAATGTATGGAATTTCATAAGTTGACCTCTATGACCCTTGACCTTTGACCTACGTGCTCCAAAATCTAATCAGATCGTCTTCCTATGGTGATACATACTATCCTTAAGTTTGAAGTTTTTACATCTCCAGTGGTTCTTGAGATATCATGATAACAATCTCAATGTATGGAATTTCATAAGTTGACCTCTATGACCCTTGACCTTTGACCTACGTGCTCCAAAATGTAATCAGATTGTTTTCCTATAGTGATACACACTATCACTAAGTTTGAAGTTTAAATCTCCAGTGGTTCTTGAGATATCATGATAACAATCTCAATGTATGGAATTTCATAAGTTGACCTCTGTGACCCTTGACCTTTGACATACGTGCTCCAAAATCTAATCAGATCGTCTTCCTATGGTGATACATACTATCCTTAAGTTTGAAGTTTAAATCTCAAATGGTTCTTGAGATATCGCGCTAACAAACTCAATACAAGGAATTTCGTAAGGTGACCTCTGTGACCTGTGACCTTTGACCTACGTACTCCAAAATCTAATCAGATCGTCTTCCTATGGTGATAAATACTATTCCCGAGTCTTAAGTTTAAATCTTAAATGGTTCTTGAGATATTGTGATAACGGTCAAACGGGACGGACGTACGGACGGACGGACGGACAACCCGAAAACATGATGCCTCCGGCACCACCTTCGGTGGCGGAGGCATAAAAAAAAAAACGAAAGCCAAAACCAACACGAATTTGCACGTTTGGGACTAGAAACGGTAAAATAACAATACCACTATGGTACAGGACATTTCCAAACATCTTACCGACAATTTTATCTTGCATTGTTGACATGAAGACGAAAACATGAAAATGTTGTAACACAACATTTGCCGATAGATCTTGATCTAAGTTCGTGCCAATGCATTGCAAAAGTAAAGGAAGGAACAGTCTAACGGAGCTGCCGCGAACATCCATCCGAAGTCGCCATTTTGTTTTTCCATTTCATGCAGTTTCGCATTACACCGTACATTGTGGTAGGGGTATATCGGACACCAAATCTGCCTGCAATCCCTTTTTTAGCTAAACTTCCGGTAAATTATAAGAATATGGATGAATTTGGTATCAGTTTGTAAAAAAAAATAGTGTTTTCGAGAAAATTATGATTATTTTGTTGTGTCCGTTTGTTTTTTTCCCCTTTTTTTTCTTTTTTTTTCCTCCCTTTTTTGAAAGGTCAAAGTTGGGGTGCGGCCTTATCGCCGGCAAATACGTTATGTATATTGTATAAGGAACTCTAACATCATAACCACAAAAGTGCATGCTGCTACAAAGTTTAAAGAGCATCAAAACTTATGTATTATATCAATTTCCTCATGAAATATGTATTTAAATATACCTTTTTTTTATTTTTTTTTATTTACCACAAAGCAATTAGGATTTAGTTGCACTAATCACTAACTTAATTTATCAGGTTTTCCTCAAATCCAAAAACCAGATAACTTTACCAATGTTATGGTGCTTGGCTCTCTCCAGGAGGAACTTTGAATCGTGAACTCGCTGAGCACCAGACATGATTTCTTCTCCTCTCATGAAACAGTCATAGGAATTGGAGTATTGCTGAAAGATACACAAAGAAATAAATCATGACGAGTGAGAAAATTTGTAGCATAGTGTGAGATATATTAATAATAATAATAATAATATTGGCATTTATATAGCGCTCTTACAGACATACATGTGTATCACAGCGCTTTACAACATATTATTATTACCCCGGTCATCGGATTCAGGCTTACCCGCACACAAGGTATGCACATTCTCCACTCCCTGGGGAGCATTCCAGCCAGTCGCCATTTTACAAGCGCCACTTGCTAATCAAACCACATTAGCTTTCGCATCCTACCGGGTACCCATTTTAACACCTGGGTGGAGAGTGGCAAATGTAGATCAATGTCTTGCCAAAGGACATTAGTGCCGCGGCGGGACTTGAACCGCGGACCTTGTGAAACATTCTGAATTAAATAGATTTTCATTCTGTCCCGTTTTTGTTGTTTAATAGTAGAGATGACATTTATGACTGGAAAATGATGAGGATAATGATAGTAATCATGCTGATTAAATAAAAAATATTGATATAGGTGATAATGAAAATAATTATGAAAATTATGATTATGTGATTATAATAATAACAATGAATAGACATGTTTCTCTCCCTGGTAAGCATGGAAATGGTAAAATAAGAATACAAAGGGCAAAGGGAAGAGCAAGAGATAATTAAGATATTGAAGAGGGAGAACTAGAGCCAGAGGCAAAAAAAAGGGAGAGGGTAAGAGAGTACAGAAATAGAGAGGCATAGACAGAGGGAGACAGAGCAAGAGAGGCATAGACAGAGGGAGACAGAGCAAGAGGAGAAAAGGAAGACAGAGCAAGAGAGGGAGAGGGTGAAAGAGTAGAGAGAGAGAGAGATCCAATGGAGAATGATGCATTCAATATTGCCAGCATAAATAGAATTGAATATAGAGAAAGAGAAAAGTATAGACATGTAAACAACTCTATGTCCGTGGGATAGACGTAAACATTGCATATAACTGGGCTGAATAATGAGACAAATGTTTGGGAAGACGACTATCATCATAGAAAAAGGATGATTCAATATTATAGCAGCCTTGGGAGATTAATTAACCATATATAGGTTTAATACACGACAAAGAATCAGATTTCACATAGGGTTGTACGCAAACTATTGACATTCCTCTCCCATAGATATAACACGCAAAATTAGGCATTTATTACATTGTTTGTGAATGCTCATATATATGACATGTTATAATTGTTGTAGAAGATGATAAATCAATTATATACCTCACTTAAGAAATCCAGCCATCTGATTGGTCGAAATTGCATTCATAAACTTCAACTATTTCTGTAAAATTCCCAGTAACCATGGTTATTGGGAAAATAGTTTAGTCTCCATGGTTACCCCATAGGTTTACATGTTAAAAAATGGTCTGAGTGATCGAGGATACCGTACGTGTGCGAAGAATTGGTCGGTAATTTCAATACAATTGAATCTCGATCGATCTTACGGACAATTTTATCTTGCATTGTTGACATGAAGACGAAAATAAACTTCCAAAAACAAAAAAACAACATCTGCCGATAGATCTTGATCTAAATTCGTGCCAATATGCATTGTAAAAGTAAAAGAAGGGCCTGTTTAATGGGGCAGCCGCAAAGCATCCACCACGCGAAGCCGTTTTCAATCCATTTTAATGTATATATAAGAAAAAACTGCTATGTATGGTAACAGAGCGCGATAGCCGAGCGGTTTAAGGCGGTGATTTTAGTTACATCACCTTTTGTACGCAAGAGATCGAATCTCATCTTCGACAAAAGTTTTTTTTTTTTTTTTTTTTTTTTTTGGCATATAAAAGTATTAATGACTGCTTTAATATTCGAGAAATAGTTGTTTTTATACGCTCTCGGGAAATCCAGCCATCTGATTGGTTGAAATTGCATTCATAATCTTTAACTATTCCTGTAAAATTCCCGGTAAAATTCCAAACCTAGGTAATAGTTTTAAAAAATAGTTCTAAAATCCCAGTTACCATGGTTACCGGGAAAATAGTTCTAAAAAATAGTTCTTAAATCCCAGTAACCATGGTTACCCATAGGTTTACATGTTAAAAAATGGTTTGAGCGATCGCGGATACCGTACGTGTGCGAAGAATTGGTCGGCATTTTTAGTACGGCAATATATCTCGATTCAAACAAGGCAAAAATGGCTGTAGAAACTCTCCCAAGATTTCAACTTCTGGATGAGGATCAAATGCGAGACATGCTGACAGCAAGAACACCAAAAAGGGTACGTGAAATCTTCCATATTTTTTTTTCAGTAGGCCTAGATCTAGATTCTAGTATGCGACAACCAGATGCTGGTGATTGTAGTGATTTGTACGTCACGGACAGATGCAGATCCTTCCCGTAGAGATTACACACAAAGTACACATCCCTATGCATTTCCATTGGCCATTGCACACTCGATCATGCTAGATTGGTTGATGTTTTAATTACCAGAGATTCAAACTAATATTGCTCATGATCCTGAAGGTGATACTCAATAAGTGAGGGGTCATATGAAAGTGCAGGTTTTTCTCCATATTCCCCACAGGGCCGGCCTACCCCTAAAATTGTAAAAATATCTTACTTAGACTAGAATCTAGATCTAGTCTACTCTCAAAGAAACACTCGTAAAAAACAACCGTGCAGATAAACTAGAGAAAGGCCAAGGTGGTGTCATAATTTGTTCGCATATAAAAGTATTAATGACTGCTTTAATATTCGAGAAATAGTTGTTTTTATACGCTCTCGGGAAGGTTACAATTGTGCTATTGCCCTCGGCATGCCTCGGGCAATAGCACAATTCTAACCTTCCCTTGAGTGTATAAAAACAACTATTTCTCTCAAAGCAGTCATTAATACTATAATATAAAATGACAGCTAAAAAAAAAAAAAAAAAAATTTAAATTTGGGATACAAAAAAAAAATCAAACCAAGGCTATCTTATACAACAGATATTGACTGGCAGGGGGTATATAACATTTCTTGGACCTGAATTTCCCTCAGCACTGTGCGCTTTAGGAAAATATAATCCCTTCAGTGGTCCAAATACTGTTATATCATACCCCCTGCCATTCAATATCTGTATAATATTGAAGCCCCAATAGACTGTAGTGTTATCAAAACCGTTTAAAAAACAAAAAATAGAATTTCAATTTACAATCATAAATATCTTGATAATCGGACAGGCGGTCAGCTTGTAAAAGTCATGGGATTCCTGACTGACCCAAGTATGGCTGTAATCCATCAATCGGTTCTTGAGATAACGCGATCACAAGCTATTTTTGCATACATAATAAGCCCTGTGACCTTTGACCTAGTGACCCCAAAAATCTTATTAGTTCATTAGCTCTACAAGATGCATACATGACTCAAGTTTGGAGGGAATCCATCTTGAGATAACGCGATCACGAGAACGGGACATACATACGTACGTACGAGTGGACGGACGGACAACCAGAAAACATAATGCTTCCAAATGGCTATTCTATGTTGAGTACAGCCATTATGAACAAAAACGCACAAGCATGCACGTCAGACCTGCCAACCTCTGGAGTTCAAAAACTGTAGTCTTTATTCCCAAAAGTTGTATTCTTAAAAACAACTAGATGGAATTTTGACTGCGCGCAGTCAAAAATGATGCCTCCGCCATAGAGCAACTTTACAAACCAAAACGGAAGCAATTTTTAAAATTCAAGTTTGATTGTAATCCATCTGTCGGTTTTAATAATAATGCATTCACAAGCTATTTATAGTCATACATAATGAGCCCCATGACCTTTGACCTGATGACCCTAAAATCTAATCAGTTAATTGGCTCTGCAAGATACATATATACATGTCTTGAGTTTGATAGTAATCTGTCTATTGGTTCTCATTATAATGCGATCACAAGCTATTTGTGCATACATAATGAGCCCTGTGACCTTTGACCTCGTGACCCCAAAATATAATCAGTTCATTGGCTCTGTTAGATACATACATGACCCAAGTTTGGCAGGAATCCATTGACCGGTTCTTGAGATAACGCGATCACGAGCTATTTTTGTAGACATAATGAGCCCTGTGACCTTCGACCTCGTGACCCCAAAATCTAATCAGTCCATTGGCTCTGTTAGATAATACATGACCCAAGTTTGGCACGAATCCATCGATCGGTTCTTGAGATAACGCGATCACAAGCTATTTTTGTATACATAATGAGCCCTGTGACCTTTGACCTCCGACCTCGTGACCCCAAAATCTAATCAGTTCATTGGCTCTGTTAGATACATATATGACCCAAGTTTGGCAGGAATCCATTGATCGGTTCTTGAGATATTGCGATCACAAGCTATTTTTGAATACATAATGAGCCCTGTGACCTTTGACCTTCGACCTCATGACCCCAAAATCTAATCAGTTCATTGGCTCTGCAAGATACATACATGATCCAAGTTTAGAGAGAATCCATCAATTGGTTCTTGAGATAACGCGATCACGAGAACGGGACGGACGGACGGACGTACGGACGGACGGACAACCAGAAAACATAATGCCTCCGGCTACTTTGTAGCGGAGGCATAAAAATGGAATGTCATGCGGATCAATGCCTCTTACAGTTCCTACATACAGGAAGAATTTTTTTATGGATCATTGGTTGAATATGCATAATTTCGTCACGACTGTTGAGTTCAATGAACCAACGAACATCCCCAAATTGCCGATGTGAGATGCTTGTAGGATACTTTACAGGACAGAATGGGCATTTTGCCATTGAAAATGGCACACACACAAACAAAACAACAAAAATTTAAAAATTAAAAATATATATATTTTTTGTTTTTGTTGAAAATCTTATTTTATTGAGGAACATCGTACTGTCGTATTTGATTCTAAAAATCGTACAAAATACGACTAAATCATACTAGCTGGCAGGTTTGGCGCGTGTGTGCAACTTTTTAATCTTTTATAGCAATGCTCAAAACGACCTAAAATGTATGAATGCAAAATGAATTTGAGACGATTTGGATCATTTTGAAATTTTGAGCACTCACTGCATGTTAATTGACCTTGATCATGCTAAATATGAATTAGAAATGACTTTCTGTTTTTATGAAGATATGATCATGAGTTGATTTTCAAAAAAATTCTCAAAATGGCGCCTGGATGACGTCATGAAGACCTGATGACCTTGAATATGTTGCTGTCATGTCTCATGACAATGACCTATGACTGTGCCAAAATGAAAAGATATTGACTTTACTGATTTTGAGATATCCTCTACACACAAAAATTGGGGGTGAAATTTGAAGAAAAAAATAATAATAAATGAAAGAATAAAGAAAGAAAATTATGACGAAATCAATAGGTGATCTGTCGATGACAGACCAACTAAATATAGAGTGAAAAGTATATGACTTACCGGGTTGTTTGGATCAGGCATAGTGTAGAAAGGCCGAATGCAGAGTGGGAACTTATCCAAGATGTAGAAATCAGTGTCATACTTCTCCTTCACAAGACGACCCAAGAACTTCTCATTAGGGGTGCTGTCACATAATCACAAGGTACATGATTATTTTAAAAAAAACTTGTATCATTTATGTGAAGGAGTAGCAGCTGTAAATTTGCAGTGTATTGCATGAATTTATAAATACACACTTTTGATCTCTTGGACCAAACTCTTTTCAAATCCTTGAGCTTATACGCACTTATGCAGACTTGATTAAATTTGCTTCAATGATTTTCAAGTTATACCTGTAACACAATATTGTAATATTTATTGATATTCAAATGACATTATCTTCTCTTTTTAAAGTAAAAATCTCATCAGTTTATCCTTTGCTTACACATACTTAAATCAAGCAAGGTTTTCTCTTATTGGTTCTAAAGTTATCAAGACAACAAGATATGTCAAATTTCATTCTTATATGACCTTGGGTAACGGGCCGCATTAATAAATTTTGCTGAGATCCCCAGTGGTTTACGTGTAACTAGATGGATGTTCAATTCCATGCAGTCGAAAATGGTGGCTCCGCCATAGAGAATTCTTACGAACCAAAACAGGAGCAATTTTTTAAAATTCAAGTTTCATGGCAATCCATTAACAGATTCTCAAAATATGATTATCAGCTATTTTTCATATACATGTATGATCCATTGAACTTTGACCTCATGACCCTTAAAATCTAATAAGTTTATTGGCTCTGCAAGATACAAACATGTCCTGAGTTTGATAGTTATCCATCCGTCAGTATTAACAATGCGTTCACAAGCTATTTTTGCATGTATTCATAATGAGCCCCATGACCTTTGACCTCATGACTCCAAAATATACTCAGTGCAATCATTGGCTCTGCTAGATACATACATGACTCAAGTTTGGCTGTAATCCATCAATCAGTTCTTGACGTATGAACAACCAGAAAACATAATACCTCCAGCTACTTTGTAGCAAAGGCATAAAGATTAGTGACGTTAATGCCGCAGCAGGACGCAAATCTCAAACCATGTACTGTGACGTATCCACTAGACCATGACACTTCTGCAAAATTGTTGTCTGATTAGTTGGCAGCTGGTTACAAACCTAAGATCTTCTAGGTCATCAATCTCAATGCCTGCATCACGCAGCATCTTGATACCCTCAGGCCACTCCAGACGAAGAGGAGGGTCTAGGAACTTGAAGTCTTCTGACGGGAACTGACGTCTTACTGTCTGGATCTCTGTCTGGAAGTTGTCTCGAAGACCCCTGAAGATATCGTTGAATACGCTTCCAATGACATCCAGGGCCTGGGTACAAAGGAAAGAGATGATAATGGTTTGAGTGAAGCTATGTTCTTCATAAACACAGTCATTTAAAACAAATGTTCAATTATTTCTATGGTGAAAATATAATCTAGATCCTTTCACCATTAATGGACAATCCTTTTGATCCTTTTACTCCACAAATTCTTGCCTTCTTTACATTTCTAAGTCCATTCTACAAATTTTCAAAGAGCTTTGGTGTATTATCCCCATGTTAAATTGAAGAAGAAAAATAATTTTTAAAAAATTAAAAAATGCTGTCACTGTATGGGATTAATAGTACTGGATCTTTGATAAAATAATTTAAATGCTAATTCCATGTTCATGCACACAAGCCCACAAATAACCCAACTCTCCCCTTGAAATATTCTAAATTGCCTACCTCATGATAATGATATTTAAAGGCCATCTCCATGTCCAAGCCCACAAACTCACACAGATGACGATGTGTGTTGGAGTCTTCTGCCCTGAAAACTGTCAATAGAATAAGATTTTAAAGAAAGTTTTTAGAAAACACCTTTTCACAAGCAACATATATGTGCCATCCAACGATAGGTCACTTTTCAGATTATTCCTGTCAAATACTGATCTAAATCTAAGGTTCAAGCCACTTTTTAATTTGAGAAAAATTTTAAAAAGAAGAGACACACACACAGTTTAGGTACAATTCTTACTTAACAGGGAAAATACATGCTGAATACTTTGGTCCCATCAAGATACACCTTGATGTATTGCAGTATGTTAGAGGATAGGGTATGATGATCTAGCAAAAGATAAATGCAAACAACCAGTTAACTTGGAGTGACTCATAACTCATAGAGTGCATTTACAAGTATGGCAGAGAACAAAGAAGCATGGACAAATTTTGTAGTCAATTTTGAATCAAGCACAAAAACAATTTGATTCATTTGGTTTCTATTTTGTTAAGAGAAATGAAAAATAATCTCACCTGCACCAATAGTGAAAACCCTCTCAAAGTCAGCCGCAATCCCCATCTGTTTGTAGAGCTGAGGTGATTGAGCAAGGTAGGCATTGTTCTTGAAGTAAGACACAGTAAACACATTGGCTCCACCCTCACTGGCAGCTGTATGACGGAGAGAAAGGAGGAAGTGTCTTAACATGATTTATGATCTCTTCAAACTATTTTTTTTTACCCAAGTATATTACATGCCACGGACCAAATCATTATGGAATAAAATTTACGGATGCTTCCACTTTATCAATCGAGGGGGAAACTACTGTACATGTGCACGTACCTCGCAGCAGGCCCATTCCAATAAAAATGTACCAAGTTACTCCTCAAATATCACTATTTATGTGTTTTTTCTCGGTCAACTACTGTATTCTTTGTCCAAGTTATGTATCTGCTTATGGTAATTTGGAGTAGTTGTTGTCTCTCCATTGTGCTCTCCTAGTTTTGAATGTTTTCTTGGTACGATACTTGTTAGGGTTTGTTTTGGCACACATTACAGCTAATGGAGTGTATTGCACATTCCTTCCAAGACTAGTCTGAATTTGCCTTGCAACAGCGATGAGTATCAGAAGATGTTGTGATGACTAAGTACTTATCATCTTTCAAAAGAAGCATGCAGTGTTTATCACAAGACAGAAATGTTAATTTTGTTTTTAAAATTTGTTCAATCGGTATGTTGTGAAGAAGAATTTTTTAGAAAGCCGTTTTATTCAACATTTTAAAAAGAGGTTTTATTATTCCAACTTTTTTAGCCTGATTTATTCATCCTGCATGAATCAAAATGGCAGCTTGAATGGTCTCTTCCTATTTTTGTCCCAGTTTTTTACTTTCAGAGGCATGATGAGGCTCTAAACATCACCAAACATGGATAAACTACCATATGTCCCGCGATAAGGCCGCAGCGCCGCATTTCGTAGAGGGAAAAAAAAACGAGAGAAAAAAAAAACGGACCAAACAAAATAATCATAATTTGCTTGTGGAACACTATTTTTTCTATAAACTGATACCAAATTCATCAATATTCTTATAAATTTACAGGAAGTTTACCTCAAAAATGATCGTAATTTAGCAAATCTTCATTGATTTTTAAGCTAGTACTGTATCGCAGGCAGATTTGGTATCCTACATTTACCCCTACCACGATGTGCGGTGTAATACGATATTGTGACTTCGACCTGCGCAGTTGCATTGCGCGGCAGCTAGCTCCGTAACTAACGGTTAGTCCATTCTTTTACTTTTTAGTGATGCAATGGCACGAACTTAGATCTAGATCTACCGGTAGATTTTGATAGAAAAATAAGTGAAGTTTATTTTTAGTCTTCATGTCAACAATGCAACATAAAATGGTTGGTAATATAGGCGAGTTATTCTAGAAATGTCCTGTACCATTGTATAGTCATTGTAGTCCCACATGTCCGAATGGACGTGCTGTTTTGACTGTTGAATTTTCAGTTGTTGCGCAAAGGGCGCACCCAGACTTTTTGATATTTTCTCTTCCAAAAATACTGCGTCCTTTACACCGGCAAATACGGTAGACGAAACTTTGACTGCCCGCAGTCAAAAATGATGCCTCCGCAATAGAGCAATTTTACAATCCAAAACAGAAGCATTTGTTAAAATTCAAGTTTGATTGTAATCCATTAACAGGTTCTCAGAATATCATGATGAAAAGTAATTTTTCATATACATGGATGACCCTTTGATCTAATTGGTCACTAGCTCTGCAAATACATGTCCTGAGTTTGATAGTAAATAACTTCATGAGAGATATTCCAATTTTAACCGAGGTATGCATGTATATTCAAAGGTATTTTCGTATTATGAATAGTCAATTGTTTTATGAAAAATTTAGATCTAACAACGGTATTAGATCTAGCAGGTGATTTTTTTTAATATATCATCTTTTGTACCCGCCCAAAATTACCATCACAGCTCTAAACATAAATGGTATAGACCAAGTGTAGCTTAAAAGTGTGAACAGAGTTAAAGTTCACTACTGTATACATGTTTATCCTGCAAAACAATTTCATCCCATTGTAGGTCCATCATAGTCTCAAACAGCTGCCTCAACAAGTCTCAGCGAGTAAGGTTAATGAATACTTTGTCCACTTAGAAATGCACAAAAGCCAAGACACATGAATAGCATAAGACATGTTCAAAGTGGCCTACAAAAAGTATGAATTAAAAAGGATATTGCAGCCAGGGAGTAGGGCATCACAGCAAAATGTGTTGTGGCCTCACAGCTATACAAGTCATGCAGTACAATCTGGCTAATATCCAACCCAAGATGCTAGTGGTGATATTGGTATCACATCTTAGACATGAAATATTTTGGATGAGAGCTTTCAGTAACGATTAATGAAATTTAAATGCACACTCTTTCAACAAGCTAACATGCAAAACCCATTAGACGACTTTTGACAGCTGTTCATACCTGAAATGATCTTGGGAATCTGAAGTTCAACAAAATCTCTCTTCTTCATGGCTGCACGAAACTCTTGGACTACTCCGGCTTCAAGACGGAAGATGGCCTGGTTAGTAGTGGTCTGATAAACAGAGAAAAAAGTAGCTTCTATTTGTATTAAAAACAAAGGAAACACTCTCGGCGGTCTCGCCTGCATTACGCAATTCGGTAATGACGAAAAATTGAGGTTGGGACATTATTTGTAGGCAGGGTGGCCCATTAGCAGGCCCCCAAAAAGGAATCCTTGACTAAGAATCATCAAAAGAAATATTTACTATAATTTGTACGATTGATAACTTTAATGGAATATGAAGTTATGAACAAATAACAAAAATTGATTATCAATTCTCATATTAAGTTGTGAAAACATAATCCAAATCTACTAACCTAAAATAACCTTTGACCTTGACTGTGTCACCTAAAAGACTAATCCTATGATTGGTGATACTTGATAACCCTTTATTCCAAGTTTCATTGAATAAAAACTTACAAATTCAAAATTAAATTACAAATTAACTAGATGGACCTTCGAATGCGCACAGTCGAAAATGATGCCTCCGCCATGGAGCAATTTTACAAACCAAAACAGAAGCAATTTTTAAAATTCAAGTTTGATTGTAATCCACTGAAACATTCTCAGAATAATGTCATTAGAAGCTATTTTTCATATACATGTTTGACCCTTAGATCTTTTACCTCATGGACCTAAAATCTAATCACTTCATTGGCTCTGCAAGATACATGTTTTGAGTTTGACAGTAATCCATCCGTCAGTTCTATTGATAATACATTCACAAGCTATTTTCGCATACATCATGAGCCCCATATCCTTTGATGTTTGACCTCGTGACCCCAAAATCCAATCAGTTTATTGGCTCTGCAAGATACATACATGACCAAAGTTTGGAGGAAATCCATCAATCCGTCCTTGAGATAATGTGATAATGAGCTTTTTTTGCATACATAATGAGCCCTGTGACCTTTGACCTTGGATCTCGCGACCCTAAAATCTAATCAGTTCATTGGCTCTGCAAGATACATACATGATCCAAGTTTGGCGGGAATCCATTGATGAGTTCTTGAGATAACGCGATCACAAGCTATTTTGGCATACATAATGAGCCCTGTGACCTGTGACCTTCGATCTCATGACAATAAAATCTAATCAATTCATTGGCTCTGCAAGATACATACATGACCCAAGTTTGGCCGGAATCCATCAATTGGTTCTTGAGATAACGCGATCACGAAAACGGGACGTACGTAAGGACAGACGGACAACCCGAAAACATAATGCCTCTGGCTACTTTGTAGCAGAGGCATAAAAACATTAACCTTAGGTTGAGTTTTTGATGTTGACGCCGTAGTCACTGCCACCAGAAAAGCGGCGCCTTTGTCTCGCTTTTTGTTACGCAGGCATGACAAAAACTGAAGAGATTAATAGTCTGCTCCTCAAATTCTTTCTTTTTTTGGTACTGAACCTCCAAAAATATTTCCATAAAAACTAAAATTAAACAATTTAATCCCACAAAATTACACATTGAATTTGATGTCCGTTGTACTGCACTGCATAATGACACACGTTGAAATGCACAGGTCTACACATCAACAAATTATGAAGTAATATCTAAATCTGAATATTTATCATATCATTTCCCATCTTTATGGTACCCTAGAAAGTCTTTTCTCTGCCTTCTTTGATCAAAATTTGAAAGTATCATGTCTCACATCTTACCCTGAGATCAAGGACACGGTTGTCAAGGCGGACATCTTGTCCTACCGTTGCTAAGGAAGAATCATCATCATCCTTTCCCTCTGCTCTGGCAGCATCATCAATTTGCAGAGGCAATCTGGGCTCAGCAGGACTCACAACAAATATCTTCAAATAAAGCAGAAATATATAGAAACTAGATGGATCTTCGACCTTTGAGCTTTGACCTTGTGACCCAAAAATCTTATTTTTTTTTCATGTACATACATGACCCTTTGAAATTTTACCTCATGACCCTTAGAATATAATCAGTTCATTGGCTTTGGAACATACAGTACATACATGACATAAGTTTGGTGGTAATCCGTCCATCAGTTATGTGATCACAAGCTATTTTTGCATACATAATGAGCCCTGTGACCTTTGACCTTATAAACAAATAAAAGGAACAGCAATAGGCACAAAATGGCCCCAACATATGCAAATAGCTAGAAAAAAAATGTAAAAATGCATAATTATATAAATCCGTTGCAAAGCAATGCAACATTTTTATAAAAACACATTTCATGTACCCTAATTAATGGTGTATAAACCGCCCTCATGTATTAACCGCACCCCTCTTTTTCGCCCTAAAAAAAACAGCAAGCAAGGTCCGTGTTAAAAAACCCATGCGGGAAGGCCTTTCATTTAACTGCGAGGTGCAGCTGAATGTGTTAGATCATTAATGTAAATTAAAAAACAGAGGACCTAGGATAAAACCTTGTGGTATGCTGTGTAATAGAAGAAAAATTGGAGGAATTATTATTATAAACTACATATTGAGATCTATCAGAAAGATTACTTTCAAACCAAGATGACAGACAAATTTGATTGTTGTTTAAGTTTCCGAGTGGTGAGTCAACACATCGATTACTGTGCTGGGAGACATTGCCAGGCATAGCGCCAGGTGGAGGGGCATAAATCGAAACTTTAAAAAAAAAAAAAAAAATTTGTTTTTGTTTTTTGTTTTGGTGTACCGTGTATAAACCGACTTTGAATTTTTTTTGGCGGCAAAAAGATGCGGTTTATACACCGTTAATTACGGTATATAATTTATTGCACTTGTTTGACATTTGGAATTTGGAATTCACTATATTCTGAAGAAATGAAATTATAAGATTATAAATATTGTTTACTGGATAGAGATGTTCTTGGTACAAAACAAAGTTTTTGCTCATGGGCATAGCAAAAAGCTTCAAGCACCTCGTATGACAACTAGAGCTTAATTGCAAGTAATTATCTTTTTAACAATCAGGTAACATTAAACACCATACCTGTTCAATGTGAAGTTCGACATCTTTCTGGGTACAGCTCTCAATCGGCTGAGGCACAGCAGCTATCACACCCTCAACATCAACAATGGATTCCTTTGTAATACTAAACTTGGAAGAAGAAAAAAACATGAAATGATATGTAGGATGACCAAACAATAGTTAAGATCCATAATATCAGTTTATCTTTTTATTTTTGTTTTGCCAAAGTTTAAATCAACAAGTCAACGCAAAAGCGTAGCATCCTCTCACCGGGTACATATAGCCTATCTTTTAGAAAATTTTGCATATTTAATGAGCTGTGACCTTTGACCTACATACTCCGAAATCCAACCTAGGCTGTATTTTGATGCCATGTACCTTCATATCAAATTTCATTAAAATCTGTTAGAACATTACTTAAGTATAATTAGCTATTTTCACATATTTAATGAGCTATGACTTTTGACCTACATACCCCAAAATTGAACTTGGGCTGTGTTTTAATACCTGGTACCCTCATAGCAAATTTTATTAAAATCCGCCAAAACATTACTAAAGTAACCAACAGAAACCAGATTTGTTACGGACGGAAGGCAGCGCTGCTATATCCCCTCCGACTTCGTCAGCACAGGGATAATTAATCATTAATCTGTCATAACACATGTTAGGGCTGGGAATAAAAACCGGGTACCATGGTCCAGCTCAAGAGCCGCGGGTAAAAAAATTAGATACCTGTTTCTCACAATTGAATGGCAATGAAAAATAAGCCCCTTAAAAGTGACGTTTGTTAGCAATCAAAATATCAAATAAATCAACATGCATACCTCTGCTCAGATTTTCTCCCATTTTACATTATTTTCCTCCATGTTTGGCAATGTTTAATACTAATATCATGCCTGGAAATGTCAAAATCAGGGCCCATATTCCATGAACTTCTTAAGCATGAAATTTGAAAAAAAAATTAAAATCTTTTTTATATTTTTTGAGCTGTTAAAAACAAATTAAGATCAAACTAGTGGTTCAAATCAAATAAATTCTGTAAATATACTGTAATAAACATAAAATCTGAACTTACTTGGCAGCAAATTTAACCATAGGCTTGCTAACTTTGTCACTGACACAGAGCAGACCCTGGCAATTAAACTGTTGCTGTCGCAGCACAAGAAAACATTGCTTGCCTGTCAAGACAAAGAACCAAAACTGGTTCAAATTTGGGCAAAATATACAATACTTTCTGTTGTCATGACTTTATTTGCCAATGCAAAGACAACTCGATGTGTCCCCTGTTTTAAAGGGCAATTAAACATTTGTAATAAGTTCATGAAATAGGAAAAATAAAATAAACAGAATGGCCAAAGTTTGAAATAAATAGGACAAGTAATATGAAAGTTATGAATGTTTAATATAATATGAGATCACTAAGTCTATAGGTGCGAGTCTCGAATTGGCATTTTGGTCAGTTTGTTTGTGACATAGTATACAAATAAACCAAGCTGTGAGAAAGTATAGTGGAAATTATATATACCGGGTATGAAGAGGGACTGGCATAGTGCTATTGCCGGTCCCTCCAAAGATATATCATTTTCACTATTTTTTCGAACTAAATGCTTGGTATATTTGTTTTATATCTCTTCTTTACAACAAATTCCAACAACAAAAAAGATTAACTACCAGCTGATCTGAATCGAGCGCTATATAGAACGGGCTTAAGTATCGGTGACTTGCGCCGATACTGCAGGCCGCAAGGTAATGAGCAGCCTGTATAAGGACTCGCTAAGTGGCAACTCTGACATAACTTTCAAGAATGTTTCTGCATTTGCTTTCTTGGTTGCAGGTGAAGGAATCACTCTATTTTGTCCAAGGATTGTATAAAAAACTGTGCAATCATTATTTAAATCATTCAATTTTTCTTCAGAGAAAATATTATATTAAAGCTAATCTCTAGCTCTGGTATGGTAATTGTATTGTGAGAGAAAATTGCTATGATTTATCTTGGATTGTTTATCCTGCAGTAGATTGGTTGTTTGAACCAGAGAAATATGAAAAACAGCACAAAAACTTACTTACATCTTCAATAAAAACCACAACTCCCATTTGCACATAGTGACCCGTGTTAATCGCATGGTGGGTGTCTACGGTATTTAACCGGATTTCCTTATCTTTCTATGCTCATTTCTCAGCCACTATACATTTTCTACCAAAATTGTTTGGTACATTTATTTGTAATCTTGAATATTCAGTGTAAGTTTCATACGATTCTGTATTTTTCTATATTTACCAGAACTCAAGTATATCTTAAAGGGAGTTTTTTCCTACAAAGCACATGGGCAATATAAATATATTAGCAGGATAAGTCAGAGTTATACTGTTTTTGATTGACCACTACTTTACTGCTTCATAACTTTCTGATCGCAGGTATTCCTTAAAGGTAATACAAAGTATTGGTATGGGGTCATGAATTTGGTTCAAATGAATATATTGGAAGCATATGCGATTTTACAATATCCTATGATTGTTGTCGCCTTTGAACTCGCCTTTGAAGTCAAAAGTGATGAAATTGCAAATAATGAACTCTCTGTGTTGTATAGCTCCCTCTCAAGACTGATATTACTATAGCTTTAAAACAATGTTTCTTGACTACAATGGACTGATTTGCTATTCCAGTTTGGAAATTATATATCAGAACTGCATATTCTGAGGTTTTCATGGTCGCAGCTACTATGGAATGGCCTTTGGCACTATTTGAAATATTTGAAATTTAACGGGAGCACCTGTAAATTTTGATTATTTAATTTCTTGAAAGCAGAAGTGCTTTAGGGGCTAAATCTTTCAGTGCTTATATTACATCGACAGGAGCATCCAAATATATCCAAAAAAATTAAGAATTACTATCCATCCAATTTTCAAAATTTCCCAAAACTTTGCATTACCTTTAAACATCACTGATCTGTCTCTCTGCTTTTTTCTGCTATCATTAAAACTAACACAATGTCAGGATGGACTTCCCATATAGGTAAACCGATGCCATATTTATCCCAGTGTGCACAATTAAACTACAACAGGGTCTAAAATTGGAAAAATGCTGTATTGTCTTTTGCCTTTAGTCTTTTGTTCACCATACCTTTGCTCCTGCTGGTGTGTAAGCGAGCCCTGATCCAGACCTTCTGATCAATTTTGTCTGCAGTAAGCTCTTCAACTCGGTAGATTTTCCTCTCTGAAAGATACAAAGTAAATTTTTAATTATCTTTTGAAGTGGGCAGAGTAGAATTAAGTAGTATTTTTTACTTAGCTGCAGTGCTGTCTGTCAGGCACCATGTTCAGGTTCATTTCGGTTCTGTTCGGCAGAGTTCAGCAATTTTTTACCCGAACTTTAGTTTGGTTTGGTAATATAATAGCAAGACAAAGAAAAGTTTGCAAATATATTCACCCCGAAACTTGATTTACTACGCTCCAGTGGCCCCTGTCACATTCCATCAGCCTTCAACCAACAAGTCCCAATGGTATCCCTTTTATCTTGTTGACATAATTATATCATTCAATGACTTGACTCTTCTCTCAATCTCTTGCTGAGTGACTTGATGACAGAGAAAGTGCATGTTACGCAATGAACAGTCTATATATACCCAGGCAGGGGGGAAGTTCCCATTTGGTTCCTATTCTCGGACCTGTAGTTCTTGGAGCCTTGCCAACTATACAGCGTGCTTGACTATGCGCTTATGAATATTGATGTTTGCGGTCCGACAAATATGATTGGCCGTTATTTCACCTTCCGAGCCAGTCAGAGAAAGCATGATTTGTGAGGCTAACATGGCGCGCTTTCTCCAATTGGCTAGGAAGGTGAAGTAACGGCCAATTATATTTGTATAATCGCAAACATCAATATTTATGAGGGCATAGCCACTCACACTGTATGTAAAACTGGCTCATTGATAAACAATATCAAGAGCATGTGCGAAGAAGGAAAATGGGAATAAAGTAAATATAGAATGAACAATCATGACATGAAAATTAGGTACAAAATGACAAGTTAATTAGCTAGCAAAAATGTTTAAATTTTACTGCCGAACATCTGAACCAGGCCTTTGCGCTCGGTTCGGTTCAGCTCGTTTCGGAAGTGCCATGTTCAGCGGTTCGGCTACAGCCCTATTTAGCTGTTACTTGTCTTTTTATCTGTTTAGTAGTACGGTGGAAACTCGTTATCTTAGGGCAACAAACCCCAAAAGAATATACCGGTAAAGAGCTGGGACCAGCAAAATTATCTTGATATAATACAGTAAATCCTGTCTAACGCAACCACCCAAGGGAAACAAAAACACAGGGGCCATTGTAGACAGGTTTGCGTTGGCGGCCATCTTGGTTTTGAATAATTGATTGACAGCACTCGCAAGGCCTATTGCAGACCAGGGTCGCAGACCCGCCAGTGCGCAAACAATTCTCTGTGGCTTTATAAGGGCTCAGTCGGGCGAAAACGAGGCAGAGAGCCGATCGATGAATCTAACAACGCAACTTTATTTTTTGGTGTTCAAAAATTGAATAAAGAAAGAGAGGTATGGTTTTTCCTAAAAATAAAATGTAAAATGATTGGACGTAATTTTGTATCTTTGAAATAGCCTATGTGTGCATGACGAACAAGCAAGTCTTTGATTGAGAAGTTCATGACGATGACTCTGTATTGTTACATTTTCATTAGGCACAGTCCATAATGAAAAGTGCAAGAAACCATATCCTGTCGGTAATTAAATGTTTTGATTGAAGTTTTAATAAAAGCTTTGCCGATGAATAGTTTAATTGTGTGTCAGATCTACACGGCTGTTGTTGGTTGCTATATGACTGGTGCTGGTGGTCGTTGTATAGGCATTTTTCGAAAGCAAAATTAGTGGCCGCTGGCCGCGTTAGACAGGTGGTCGTTGTGTACAGGTTTGACTGTAGATACCTCATTATATTAGAGCTCTTAATGAGTTTCCGTTGTATCTAGTTTTGATGAATGTTATCTGTCATGCTAATTAGGATATTCAAATATCACAACCACTATTCATTATCAAGAAAATATTTGATAACTGGCAAGGCAAAAACCATATGAGAATTGATAGCAGTAGGATATTAATATAATTTGAATATACTTGAATAGTTACCTGAAATTTGCACCAGTAACATGCCCAATTCTCTCAAAGATTTATTGTTATGGTTAATTGCAATGATGTTTAACCGTTTAGGGTGAGCATATAAGTATTGCGTTTGGTCGGAGGTTGAATTGTAAGAATTCAATTAGTGAAGGAACACTGAGTAATGGTTGCTGTAGCAAGAATAGAATTAGACATAGAATTACTTGAATATTAGTCCACGTACCAATCTTATTCTGTGACTGAATCAGGGGATAATTGCCATAGAGATCCTTAGCAAAATCATCTCCTGCTTCTGCCTCGGCCTCTGCAGCCTGTTGTTGAAAGAAAAAGTGAGTGCCAGAGTAAAGAATCAGTAGTTACATAAAACATATGAAGAAAGCATATTAATATGTTCAGAGCAATGATTTCCAAAGATGATACAACTGTTATTCAGAATAACCCTGTAAGTTGGGGCTCTGATCGGATCGGAAGATCGGAGCGACACCCTCGCACCTATGATCGGTAGCGGATCGGAAGATCAACAAAAAAAATCAGCCAATTTTTTTTTTTTTTTTTAAATGACGAAAATTTTCAAGTTTTGGGCTATCAAATGCTCAAAAAAAGTTAATGGCTGGAATTATTTTGTCATTTGGAGTTGTTGTAGACCATGTTTGTTGATATTTGGTGCCTTTTCATGACTTTGAAATTAGTAATATTGGTCTAAGAGCAGAGGCAAAACATACGGGCCGCCATCTTGGATTATAATGTAGGTATTTTTTTTTTTAATGATGAAAATTTTCAAGTTTTTGGCTATCAAATGCTTTAAAAAAATTCATGGCTGGGATTATTTTGTCATTTAGAGTTGTTGTAGACCATGTTTGTTGATATTTAGTGCCTTTTCATGACTTTGAAATTAATAATATTGGTCTAAGAGTAATTGAGTAAAAGAGTAAATTGTAATTTATTACATTTCCTGGGTATAACATACCATTTCCATATATAGATAAACTTGTAATGTGTCAACACATGAAATTTAAAAACAAAAAACAAGAAACCAACAACAAAAAGATAAACAAACTAGATGGAATTTTGACTGCGCGCAGTCGAAAATGATGCCTCCGCCATAGAGCAATTTAAACAAGTTTGGAGTTTAAATCTCCAGTGGTTCTTGAGATATCATGATAACAATCTCAATGTATGGAATTTCATAAGTTGACCTCTGTGACCCTTGACCTTTGACCTACGTGCTCCAAAATCTAATCAGATTGTCTTCCTATGGTGATACACACTATCATTAAGTTTGAAGTTTAAATCTCCAGTGGTTCTTGAGATATTATGATATGGTGATACGTACTATCATTAAGTTTGAAGTGAAAATTCTCCAGTGGTTCTTGAGATATCGCGATAACGATCTCAATGTATGGAATTTCATAAGTTGACCTCTGTGACCCTTGACCTTTGACCTACGTGCTCCAAAATCTAATCAGATTGTCTTCCTATGGTGATACACACTATCATTAAGTTTGAAGTTTAAATCTCCAGTGGTTCTTTAGATATTATGATAACAATCTCAATGTATGGAATTTCATAAGTTGACCTCTGTGACCCTTGACCTTTGACCTACATGCTCCAAAATCTAGTCAGATCGTCTTCCTATGGTGATACATACTATCCTTAAGTTTGGAGTTTTTACATCTCCAGTGGTTCTTGAGATATCATGATAACAATCTCAATGTATGGAATTTCATAAGTTGACCTCTATGACCCTTGACCTTTGACCTACATGCTCCAAAATGTATTCAGATTGTTTTCCTATAGTGATACACACTATCACTAAGTTTGAAGTTTAAATCTCCAGTGGTTCTTGAGATATCATGATAACAATCTCAATGTATGGAATTTCATAAGTTGACCTCTGTGACCCTTGACCTTTGACATACGTGCTCCAAAATCTAATCAGATCGTCTTCCTATGGTGATACATACTAACCTTAAGTTTGAAGTTTAAATCTCAAATGGTTCTTGAGATATCGCGCTAACAAACTCAATACAAGGAATTTCATAAGTTGACCTCTGTGACCTGTGACCTTTGACCTACGTACTCCAAAATCTAATCAGATCGTCTTCCTATGGTGATAAATACTATTCCCGAGTCTTAAGTTTAAATCTTAAATGGTTCTTGAGATATTGTGATAACGGTCAAACGGGACGGACGTACGGACGGACGTACGGACGGACAACCCAAAAACATGATGCCTCCGGCACCACCTTCGGTGGCGGAGGCATAACAAAAAGTGGCTCAAAATATATTTCCCTGATGGAATCGACAAGATACCAATTGTGATGAATATTGTACCTGTTCTGCTTGTCTTTCAGCCTTTTTAGCCGCTTTCTCTGCTTCCTTTTGGGCTTTCTTCTGGGCTTTCTTGGAAATTGGTGCATCTCTTTTTAGGGTGGAAGGGTAAAATGACAAGTGAAATCATATTTCAATCTTAATACACATTGGAAGAAAGTTGGTTTGATTCTCACAAGATTTAATACTAAAACATTTACAAATGTATGGGGCAATTAAACTTTCACAGCAAATAAACAGACACAGATATATGATCCATGGCTTTAGAGCAGCCGTGTCCGGTTTTATGGTTCAACTTCCAGATGAGCCCAAAAATACCACGCTCAACATTTGGGCCACAGATTGACATGGTCTCTGTACGCATTAGATCATTCCGAACCATGCAATGAAATAAGACACAAATTTGCATTGTAATTAGTTTTAGGATATATACATGTCGATGAAGCTTGTTCCATTTAATTTACTGGATGTAATGCATAGGTCACATTTGCTCTACAGCTAGGATACGGCGGCCGTACACCCCCAAAGTCAAGAGATACCTGCGCCGGCCGCAGAGAATCTGCGGTAGCATCATGGTCACTCTAGGTCGTATCCTTACCTTTACAGGCCGTACGGGTCGCCGTGGGATTATAACGAGGAGTTATAACTGTTTTCATTTCTAGAATCGCCGAAGCCATGTCGTAGAGCGGTTCCATGGCAACCGTAAGTCGGGCGAACGGTGACCTTGCGTTTTATATACATCAGGGATGAAGCGGTAGCATCAGTCTGGCCGCATGGTCACCTAATGGTCCCCCTTCCCCCTTAGAATGATAGTAATATGTTTTTGTGTAGATGCACTAATATAGAGTGTGTTTTTTTCCAGTTAAATCATGAAAAATTGGAATTTTGATAGACTATCTATAGTTCATAAAAAAATTTGTGAATGTCATGCATGCAATATGATACAAATAATATAACTTGGGCAAAGGTATGGGGGAATCAAGTTTTGAGGGATAAAAAGGGAAATTAGATTAAACTATATAAAGCAATTGATAAATAGTGAGGACATAATGTCACAAACTGATAACCAAATTGGCAATTTGTGTAGTGATTTTCATTGTTCCATAGTTTTACATACTTTTTCAAAAATTCATAACTTTCTTATTGGGTATCCGATTTTGCTCAAACTTTTTTTGATTGGTATGTCTGATTTTTCTGCTTCTATTGGAGGCAAGTTATTTTTGGAGTGGACTTGTACTTTAAGATGAACGTACTTGTTGTTGAATTCTCTTGCATGCTTTCACACTTTCTTTTTTTAAATTCTCAATTAAGCTGAACGTACTCGTTGAATTGAATGCATATTCATCCTTTCTTTTTTTGTGATTCTCAATTAAGCTAAACATAGTCAATGTTATATTGTCTTGCATACTGTACTTTTACCCTTTCCTTTTTTAAAATTCTCAATTTAAGCCGAATGTACTCGTTGAATTGTCTTGCATGCTTACATCTTTTCTTGTTTTAAATTCTCAATTTAAGCTGAACTTAATCGATGTTGAATCGCCTTGCATGCATTCACCCTTTCATATTGTTTTTTTCAATGTGTAATTGTCTTGCTTGCATGCTTTTACCTTTTTGTATTTTTGTAAGTTAAACTTTTTATATAGTTTCTTTTTTTATTACAATGAGCGCATCTATTTTTATTGAGTGTAGACTATTTCCTATATAATATATGTTTGGACTTGGAGGAAAATGTATTATTCTGCCATCTTTGGTTTTTAAAACAGCATTGTTTACTGTTATTATTCTTATTAAATCGGCACCTTCAACTGCAACTCAAAGTAAAATTGCATGCGTTTTCGGGGAGGGACCTGGGAAACTGCCAAGTGGTATGGTAGTGGCAAAAAAATCAAAAAAATCAAAAAAATCAAAAATTCAAAAAAATTCAAAAAAATTATAAAAAAACATGGCGTCCGAATATTCGAGTATTCCCTTGTGAGCCTGGGAGTGTACTCGGGTACCTCATTACACTGTTGTGCACAGCCCTACCTTATACGTGTATTATACCCTCGCACGCTCGCTCACGCGCCGAATCATGAAAATGTCACGCATTGCTGATTTTTGAATAGGGATGCCAATGCCTAAATCTAACTTTTTAATTACTAATTTGTTTATAATAAAACAAAGATTAAAAGAAAGTATTTTCTTTCACTAAGAAAATTCACCCATCTGCCGACTCCAGAAGTTCCATCAAATAGGAGATATCCAGCTCTTTTTATCCAGTTTCCTTCTATGCCTATCCGTACGTAAGAGCCTTGAAATAATTATATTTCATGTCGCAAAATTACGTTCATAATTAGACAGGCCCGAGGGGATTGGGCGTGTCATTGCCCGGACAACAAGTTTAAAACTTCGCGCGAAATTCCATTCATCATCAGCGGCTAGCCTTGAATCGGTCGCACACACCGACACAGCTAGGTAATTGCATTGCAAGCCGCAGTCCTGAAATCGAGCCAGGCCCATGGAGGGACAAAACATGAACAGACAGAAAAAATAAACGTAGATCTACGTGATTGTAGTCAATATAATCCTAGAAAAGAATTAAAATTAATAATCAAGCCTACCGTATTTTCGGCGTAAAGGCCGCAGTATTTTCGGGTGAGAAAAAATCAAAAAGTCAGGGTGCGGCGTATACGCAACAACAACAAAATTCAGCGATCAAAACATCACATCCATTTGCACGTATGGGACTATAGGAACGGTAGCATGACTAGACAATGGTACAGGACAATTCTAGAATAACTCCACACAACTTACCGACAAGTTTATGTTGCATAGTTGACATGAAGACGAAAAAACTTATTTTTCTAATAAAATCTGCCGATAGATCTAGATCTAAGTCCATACCATTGCATCGCCAAAAAGTAAACAAAGGGACAGGCCGTTACTTACGGAGCTAGCTGCCGCGCAACGCAACTGCGCAGGTCGAAAAATGCTATTTCGGATTACACCGCACATCGAGGAAGGGGTATTGTAGGATACCAAATCTGCGTACGATACAGTACTAGCTTAAAAGTCGATAAAGATCTGCTAAATTATGATCATTTTTGAGGTTAACTTCTTGTTGATTTATAAGAATATTGATGAATTTGGTATAGTTTGTAAAAAAAAAAGAGTGTTCTACAAGAAAATTACGAAATGTCAAAGTTGGGGGTGCGGCCTATACGGCGGTGCGGCCTTTACGCCGGCAAATACGGTACCTTAAGGTGATATTCCAAATCCAGTAGTATTTCCTCATGAGTAAAGATCAATCTGACACTGCATTATCAACGATCAAGAAGTTACGAGGTCCAATTAACATCCATCTTGCAGCGAACACAATACAGCAGCATGCATAGCGCATATCCATGCAACGTACGTGTACTAATATTTCTCTCTCTCTCTCTCTCTCTCTCCCTTTCGCTATACGTAAGATACTCACTAACCATGTATCATACAACACACACCTTCAAATAGAATAGACTGTTCACGTGGACTTTTTTTTTACTGAAATATCTTTTTTAACACTTCTCATACATTACTGCACGACACTCGTATCTAGTGCTGTGAAAATAAGGTACTAGGGTTTATTAATAAGACTACGCTTTGCGCAAAATCTGACCGGAGCTCAGACATATGTCGCAATACCCTTTATTTTTGGCACGAACAATGACGTCACTGTTCAGTTTTCCTTCTCATTTTGAGATGGATGTAGCTATAGGGCTCAAACCAACACAAAATTGACGGAAACATTGTAATCTATCTACTTTCGAATGTTCAGTTTGTAAAAATCTGTATTTAAAAAGATATAATTTTTTTTCTTTATATTTTCTAGTTGTTAGAAGTGGCAATTGTGAACATCTGAAATGTTGATCTCTATCTAGGGTGTCTGATCGCGCACCCAATGTTGTGAGCTAAAATTCTTCCTATAGAGATTACACGCATCCCTATGCAGTCTACGTGCATTGCGCAACCATGCAAAAAAAGTCAATTTTTTTTTCAATTCGAGATTCAAACCTTTATCTGTTGTGATCCTGAAGGTGATACTCAATAAATGAGATGTCATATGAAAGAGCAGGTGAATTCCAATATTTCCAAAGGGGCGTAGCCCCCGAAATTCTAAAAATATCTTGGTCAAAACAGCAATTTAAACATTGTGTCCTGGCTAACTCTGAGGTTTGTCACTTTTGAGATATGACGCCCCGATCGATAAGTAGTCCCAGTCCTAAGGAACAATTCTATGTGCTTGTATTTTCGCTAGCCCCCAGGGATCACAACTGATAACAGTTTAAATATACCCTTCTCGCTATTTGGTGGATCAGCTAATTTTATAATTATATTGCCATTGACTACAACGTGTATTCACTTCCGGGTTCTATGGCGCGAACGGCCACCCATACTAGTCAATGGCACATATCGCGGAGACAGCGTGGCTCAAGCTGCAAGTCGCGCATTGGCTGTGATAACGCCATTACGAACGTGTAGATGGCGCACAGTTTTTCCTTCATAATCATTTTGCCTTCGGCGTAGACTAGAAGGGATGAGATTGATTTAGATGACTCCAGCAGCGAGAGTTTAACACGGCTTGCAAGATTTTCAACATGGATGTCGATTTTGACCCATAATTTCCTTAAAAGGGACCATTAAACGGATTATTTCAGTCAAGTTGGTAAGTGGAACTGAATTATTATAGCCTAGGCCTAATTTACAATATAACATGCACGAGGTAAAATGACATTTTGGGGGATTTTGGGGGCAAAACGCTACGACCTGAAATGGCCGTGGCGTTATCAAGGGAATGTGTATAGTCTAGATGGTTTCCGTCTCTAAAGAGAGAGCCGGCCGACCCTACCCCAATAAGAGGCTAACGAACGAAAGATGGGTCATTTCTTTAATAAAACCTTTCGGTCTAGCCTACTACCCTCTCACATTGCCTGGCGGAAATCATCGAATGACGATGGAAACGGCATTAATCACAACAATTACACGAGGCCTAGGCCTACAGCCTCCAGGTTTGACGGCAAACCGCTGCTCACACACGTACACGGCCCGGTACACACCGTCAGCTCAGCTGATCGATGATTTCGACTCGAGCTCGACACAAGTTGCTCATTCACCTGTTTCTATTCCTCGTTAATCAGTTAATTATCAATTGCTAGACTTTATCATTTACAGTTGCCTTACCCTTGATTATTTTCTACATTTCCCCCATTGTCTGCCATGATGGTTCAGGAAAAATTCCCTCGATGAGTATGGTCGTCTCGGGTCCACAACAGCTGCTTGCGCAATGCCACGCGTGTTAAAATTCTCCCAGCGAATCACTCGATCATGATCGCAGCGCGCTAGCGCTGCGCGTGTAGACCAGAGAGCTCGGGGGAAGAGCTTCGATCGCTGCTCAACAGTGAGTCAATCACTTTCTGGATCTACAGGCTTTGTATTTTCAAAGAGATTCGATCATACACGTATGTCCTCCGTAGGAGGACTAGAGAGCCAACTAAAATCGTGACCTTTGACATTTCATAGGTTTTGCATTGGTTGCATTATGGGGGTTTTGTCCGATTTGAACGACGGTTTTGGAGGGTCAATGAATATTCATGAGCAATGACGTAAAAAATACGCCAATTACTGTTTGTTGATTGGCCATTGACAAAATTTTTTGCATTCCCAGAATTCCCTACGATTTGAGCACGAAAATGGCGGTTGTATGAACTGCAACTTTCAAGTTATTCAATTACGAACAATGAAACATTTTTCTTTTAAGTGAATTTCTATTATAATAGAAGTTTGTCAAGTACATCTCAGTGAAGCAGAAAATCTTCAGGCGACCATTGGCATCGAAGTGATACCCTATGATATCAAGAAAAGTAAGTAAAGATCCATTTTGTGTGAAGGTCTCTGAAATGATTGTGATGTGTTCGTCATTGCAGTGAGCGGCTCTCCGCATTGTCACAACGTATTACCCGTTAACCCCCTACCCCATCCTCTTTTCTTTCTTCTGACCAAAGAATATTAACTGATTGAATGAACTCTAATTTAAGTCATCGACGGTAGTATTTTCAGAATAATCAGGATTTTACCGTAGGTTATTTCATTAGAGCACATCTCATAATTTTAAGTTCAGTTCATAGCTTGATTTCCGATAGTAATCGGTCGTAGATGTGGACCTGTTGGAGACTGCGCAAATGGCTCATTGCTAGTCCAAGCCGATGAGATCTCGTCGAGCGGTTTATGATCTTCAATCCGCCGGTTCTAGCCGGCTGTAACACTCCACCAAGAAGCGACTGCGTTTCCTGAGCTGGCGCGGCTATAAGTGTGTTAACTGTTACTGTAAAGCCTAGGGCTAGGCTAGTATTCATAGCATAGTCTGGCCTGAATTTTCTGTCTCTTTTGTTCGTTAGCCCTTGATTTGGGTAGGGTCGGCTCCTCTCTTCAGCCGACCCTACCCAAATCAGAGGCTAACGAACGAAAGAGACAGAAACATTCGGGCTAAGCAAAGCCTAAGCAGAGCCTAGGGCTAGGCCTAGATGATACTGATAGATCTAGGTCTAGATCTTAAATATAAACAGCATTTAACCCCGCATCTAGTATAGGCCTAGATCTAGGGCTAGATTCTAGGCCTAATGCATTCTAATAAAGAAAGACTAAATAAATGCCTGGTGTAGGTGGATTAAATAAATGATGTGGAAGTTATGGAGAGGGGGGGGGGGGTGCACAATCATTCTGTGCCCCCCTTTTTCAGATGTGGCATAGGTCTAGGGACGGGTCTAGATCTAGCTCTAGAGCCACCTACTAATAATACTAAAAATAGGCAATTAGATCTAGATCTATAGCTTGTGTTATGCCATAGCAAAGAATTCCAAAGCCATGGGTCTAGTCTCGTTTTTGCTCCACTAGGTCTAGACTAGACTAGTCGTGCACATGTGTCATTATTGTGATCCAGGTCCAGATTCAGCTTAGTTTGAATGTAGATCTAGATCTACTACTAGGCTAGATCTACCATCAACAACAAAAACAAAGAAAAAAGGTGTCTCCCCCCCCCCCCCTCTTTCCCTGATTTTGCTCTTACTCATGTCATTGTGCCTTGTTTGAAATAATTAGTTTATTTTCAGGATTTTATGCCACCCCTTTTAGTTTTATGTTGGTGAGAATTCTGGATCCAACCCTACATATGATATGGATATTTCTTTCTTTATTAAAGGACACGAACAAAGTTATAAACTGATAACTAATGCATGCATTTGATATTAGCAGGAACCTTACTAAGTTTATGTTTTCTTTAAATTGTAGATCCTATGGAACAAAGAAGCAGATAATGATGACAGAAGTGCAACAAAGAGCACCAGGACCTGATCATCAAATGCTATGGTGTAGATCTAATCAAGAACAGGACACCTAAGTTGAACTCTGGCAAGGTATGTTTGTATGAAGTTCGAAAATATTCAGGCTGTATAACCTAAGCCCATGCGAACACCGCACTCGACTTGGACTATATACAAAGATTTGGGAAACTGTCATCTTGTGTTGCATTATATCTTGTAATTCTCATTTATTCTCTAGCTTTTTATTTAGGTGACAAACTATGGTGTTGATACAGTTTATTCTCTTAGCATATTAAAAGACGTACTCAAAGGCATTTTTTCCTAAATATTACATTATATCTCACAAACTTTTGCTCACAAAAGTCTAGCAAATAATAACTTAAAATAAATTGGAAATTACTTTTAAAATAATTGGAAATACATCTAAACCTTTACTCTTCTTTTCAGAAAAGACCCTATCAGATAGACATAAGTTTATCATTTTTTAATAAAATTAAAATGCAAGACCTAAACAAAGTGGGAAGGTACTAGGGTCTAGATCTATTTTTGAAAATCCAATGTAATGCAGCAGTTTTAATCTTATTTGATTTCTCCTCTCTTTTTGTTTTTATTATGCAGGTTGTCCCTTGCAGAAGGTTTGATACCCAGGCTTCTTTTGTACAAGTCCCTAGTCCACCCTCATCTTGAGAACTGTTCCTGTGTCTGGGATCTCTACAACATCTCAGATGTCCAGGACGCTACTTCACAATGGGGACCACAAGTGAACCAGCAGTTTGACTGAGATGATCAGCACCTTTAGTTGCCTACTATATCTACAACTACAAGGCACTCTGCAAGAAGACTGGGAATGGTGCACAAGATAGTCGATGGTCTCTCCGCTCTCCCTTGAAAATTTTCCCACTGCACTACTTATAGCTACTTGCGCCCTCTATATAGCAAACAATGCCTAATCGGTGCCTGTTGGGCCCCCATGATCCTCTTTTTCTTATATTAATTGAGAGCTGATTTGATGAGATAACCACCTGTAAGTGACCTTGCAGGGTGGTCTAATCCCCCAGACCAAACTAGTACAGACGGGCTTTAACAAATCACGAGCAGGAAGTACCATGACATGACCCTCCAGTTGCACCAAGCCAAGCCAAGACATAGACAAGTTTGTATTTGCCCAACACTCTGTCCCAAAGTTAATGGAACTTACTTCCAGCAAATATAGTGCATGCTGACAGTCCAGAGAACTGCCAGGGACTACTTCTGAGGCATCTACTCTCCTTATCCCACTTAGAAACAATTTATCTTCCTCACACCACTTGTAATCTTTAGTATTAATTCATCTTCGTGATAGGCTACAACGCCTTTTGAAGATTACCAGAAGAAGAAGAAGAAGATATATCGAGGATCATGAAAGTAATCATTTGTTCTTTTAAATGCGTGTACATGAAACATAGTTTTTTTATATTTAATCTTAAGTCAAGTTCTGACAAATATATTAGGGATGCTGAACTGGATAGTAAATTGAAGGGGGGGGGGGGATAAAATAATGTAGTTCGAGAGTAATACTGTATTAATATAATTAATAACATTAATAATAATAACAATATTACAAATAGTAAGAATAATGACAATGATCATGATAATAGCAGTAATAATAATGATAATACAGGTAGTATTAAAAACAACAATAATGTCCAATGTAAGATAAAGTACTCATAAAACTCAGTATATACCTGTGCTTTACATAATAAAATAGCATGTTGATATTATTGATTTTTTTTTCTCAAAATCTACAGTAAACTTTTTCAACTGAAAAATTTAAATTCAAGAGACAGCACCCCCCCCCCCTCCCCCATCCTTTTGTCATCCTTTTGTTGATGTCATGTTGGATTTAAAAAGATCTTTATAGAAACAAAATGTGTTGATAAATGAGTTCATAGATGTTAATAAATTAGTTAATACTGCTTAATTCTGTTCTTTTCATTTTCTTATTTTGTGAAATATATGTGATGATGCTGGTGATTATGATGATGTAGGCACTCTGTAATGATTATGCTCTATGACTGAGGTGAGATGGGGGCTGATGCAGTCTTGTGTAGAATTGAGTATGGTGTTCGACCATTTGATGTTTGTTTATATCTGGCATCAGCGAGATAGATTTAACCATCTTTCGTATAATGAGAGAGAAAGCGGAAATGTAACAAGAGAGTGGACAAGACTAATGTATAAATATAATATAAAAAATGGTTTACAATAAAGATGAGCGGGGGGGGGGGGGGTTAAATAAAGAATAAGTCAATGCCAAAATGATGAAAGCATTAATTGGGGTGTGGATGGGGGAGGGAGGGTAATAGAGCCTATGGAAATGTCAATATTGGAAGGGGTCCCTGTATTGAAAATGTTACTGATGGGGGGGGGGGGGGGGGCAAATTTAAAAAATATCGGTGGCAACGAATGCAAGAATGAAAAGAACGAGACAAAATAGAAATTTCATTTGGGATGGGGCACAATATGAAGATCATTGAAGTCGAGGTGAGAATGATTCATTATTTGGACACTAAAAATATGAATATATCACTTGTTGAGTGGGCTAAAGGATCAGTGCAATTTTTTTGATTAAACAAATATTTAAGTTAATAAACGAACAAAACAAAAAAGGTAAACAATGAATTGAGGTACCACAGTGAAATGGGGTCATTATGTTTGCCTTTTAACTGAACTGAATTTAAAAAAATGTACTTTCCATCCTGGTGACAGTGAAGTTTGTGGCCCCAACTAAGTCAACCATTTAAAAGTTTATTACCCCCCCCCCCCCCCCCCCCCCAGCACATACACCTCCCCAACTGTGCATGACCTTTGTTCTATATTTATCCGGCCCAATTAAGGATAGTAACGCATGCGCATTGTCCTTTTTTCATTGCGATAATATGCTAATAAGTGGAAAAGAGCTCATGAATATTCCAAATTTTAATTTAAATATTTTGCGCGCTACGCGCAGTCCAAAATCCCCATTTCGCTGGTGCACTAAACATTTGT